GGAAATTTGTCGTGTAATCTTGTTTTCACAGCTGGGTGGCGAAATAACTATAGACGCGACAAATGAAGGGTGTATTCTGCACACTGGCCTTACGGCAACAATTACTATACTATATATAGTATTATAATTCCATACTAAAACTTTGCCGAAAACCGTTGATTTTTTTTTTCAAATCGAGTTTTACAATTTAATAAACGACTATTGTGTAAATTACGTATATCACAAATACACTTATCGTATTTCTTGGATAGTGTTAATAAAACAATCATTATCAATTACATTTGTTAGTCTAGGTCAGTGGTCGGCAATAGACGGCCCGTGGACCAAATCCGGCCTGTGAAAGAAAAATAATTGGACCACAAAAAATATTATTTTTTTAATAATGCTGGTTTTCCACACATAATATACATTTTATCTATTTTATGATGTATTTAGAGATTACGATGGTGTTTATCGTTTATTGCGATTTACAGTAATAGCTGCGATAACACAACAATTATTAATTAATATTTGAGTTTTTAGTTTTTACTGGCCCTCGAAATTTTTTTTTTTTTTGATTTTCTGGACTTCCATAAAATTTAATTGCCGATCCCTGGTCTAGGTTATGGTATAAGACTGATAGTGAAGAGAAAATAAAAAAAAACACTTTTAGTAATAATGGTAAATTTTGCCAAAATGTATAAACGTATTGTACTATCTTAATTATATTTATTTTTTTTTATGTCGATCAGAAATGTCAATAAAAAATATTTTTATTCAAACTGTTATTTTCAAGATTAAGTTGTCAATAAAGCCAAAAAATAAAGAAGTTGATATTTTTTAAGTATTAGAACGTATGTTCTACATTTAAAACAAAATCCTTTTGAAAAGGACTTGGATTCGAGAAGAGTAGTAATTGCAGTTGGGCAATGGAAAATGTTTTATTTTTTTTGTTTAAAACCAAAATTATGAAACACAAAATTGTCAATACATAATAATAATAATAATAATAATAAATCAATAAAAATATAAAATTAAAATAGATTTTGTTATGTTTAAATTCGACGTTTTTTTGTGCCGAGCAGAGTAGGAGATTCAATATAGCACAACAAATTAATCACTGGAGTATAATGAGATTTGATACAGTTGAAAGTGATGAAAGATTCAGTATAGATAGCAAACGCGACGTAAATGATGGCCACAATGGTCTTTTGATTGACAGTCATGGCGCATCAAAGTATGATGTGATTATGTTATAAATTTCTTAAACATTTTATTTTTTTTTCTATTTTTTTGTAATAAATAAAAAATTGAATTTATATCTTAGTCGTAATATGAACATTTGATGTTCAATGATAATTATTACAGTTTGCTTAGTCGTGTCGATTAGAGATTATATTATTATATTAAACGTAATTTGGTGTGTAATCGTAGACAGTTAAATTTCTGCAGAGTGAGTGCGGCATATAATAGTTTAAACTCGGATAATTATCGGAAACGTGTAAGTTAATAACCGTCTTTATAATATTCCAATCGCTATCACCACATTACCACTGTTGTCACTATCGTCGTAGCTGTGGAACGGAAACGGTTTTAATTCAATATCCGACTTAACCACTTCAAAGGATCTTATTATCTCGGCGTTTATGACATATACATGTATTTGCATGTGTGTGAAAACTAAACTTTATCGTGTAATTAAGTTTTATCGCTGTCAAATGTCGGGATATGTAGGTAAGTAGGCGTCTCCTACGCGGGTTTTTTTTTAATAGTTTTATAGTATAATCTAACAATCAATTTTCCGATTTCAAACATTTTTTTCAACTGCCAAATGATTGGTTGTGACTGGATGAACATCCATAGACAAAAAAGCACAGATATATCAGAATATGTACACTACACGTTTATATAAATTGTGCGCCTGGCAGCTGAAAATAATTCTCTAGCAACGAATGTTTATATAATTTTTCGTCAATTCTAAAGCCATAACGCTTATCTGCACAATCGAACTTTATTCAAAAACTACCTGTCATTCATCTATTCATTGAGCAATAAATGTCATGTAAATATCGTTACGGTACCAAGTATAATATAATAGCATTATGATAATATTGTATAATTTTAAATTTTATTTTCCTAACGGTTTTATTGGATGTTGTCATTCTAAGCAGAGCGATAAATATATTGGTTTTACAATGATGTATATTTTGTGTGTGTGTGTCTGTTGACACTTTTTATGGTAAAAAAAAAATGCTTTGGTTCTTAACTTCGAAATTGGTTTTTGGTAGCAAATTGAATCTAGTTGGTATTACTGGGGAGTTTATTAAAAATGTCTTAAAATAATCGGGTGAAGGATAATAGAGAAAATATAAAATTTTTACAAATAACCAGTTGTAAATATAAATGAGTTTTTTATTACAAATTAAAATCAAAAATTAGTGGTTATATAATAAACTTAAAAATTAATAACAATAATATAATGTGATATAAATAATAAATATTATATAACACTTTAATGACAATTAATAATAATATGATAAAAAATATATTATAATAGATATTTATTGTAATAACATACATATAACAAATTATGTGATTACTAGTCTCAATAATATGAATATTGAATATAGTATAATATAATATCCTTTATAATAATATAGTCCAACCAGCAACTGTCTCCACTAGGAATCATTTTTCAAATGATAATATTTATTGTTAAATTCAAATTTAATACATCCAATACATCCAACTACTCAATGACAATGTAGATTTAACAACTACCAATGACATAACAAAGTGACTCTCTGGTTTTTGAACACCTGTATGCTGTGAAACTCATATTATTACCTATTTATTCCCATACCACCATGCCCTTCTAAATCAAATCTAAAAAAAGTATAATTTCTTTCGTATTTTGTTTGAACCTAATAAGTATACCGTATTATATATATATATATATATATATTATGATAAAATATCAGTGTCAACACTTAATTTCCACGAATATTGTATTGAGTTATTTACACGAGTTTGATCGAATACGAAACCATATCTAGTTCATATTAAAATCATACATTCCATCATCGCTCATATTATGCATCTTATTACTGATTCATATCGATTTCAATCATTTAATGATAATGACTACCCAGCAAACAGTATGCGCATAGAGCTGCGTAATATTTGTTTAAAACTATAACTCGATTGTTGAGCCCAATACGTGTATTATATAAATTAATATTAAGAGTTACTCTAAATGAAAGTTATTGCATATTAGGTGCGTTATGACGGTAGTACCTATACATTTATATTCTTTGATATTACTAAATATATAATATTATACTTTATTTCTACAATTTGTCCGTCATATTTCACTATATCAGACAATAGTTTGATACATCAATGTAAAAAAAAAAAACTTTGAATTTATTCTTTCCATTGAACAATGAAAATTAAGACAAAACATTGTATCAGGTTGTTTTCATTTAAATAAAATAGCTGAGTATTATATATTTGATCATCTCTAATATTTTCATTTCCAATCCAGAAAATTGTTGATAATCCTCTTAAATATATATTTTGGTTAGAAAAATTATGTCATTTTAATTAATAGAATATTATTTAAAAAATGTATACAAATATATCTTTATTGTAAATAAAATTTAAATCTAAAATCTATAATTCATACAAAGAGTATTAAGGGTTAAAAATCTATTAATAACTACTTGTTTCTGGTCAAAATTGTATATAATATAAAAATTAAATTAAAAAATACACATATAGTAAGTAAAATGTATTGCATATTTTAATAAATATGTGTTTAATATAAAATTATAAATTTTATAATATTATATTACTATATATATTAGGTGTATATTTTTAACTTTTAGGTTAACTATTAATAATAAATTACATACAAGAATAAAATCTCAATAATTATCAAAGACATAAATTCAAAAAATAAGTAGTATACAAATGATACATTGATTAGGTATAAATTTTAAAATTATTATAGATAAGATATGGTAATTATATTATATTCTATCAGTATTTCATATATAAAATTTAATAAAACTACATCAAATATATGTCGACACTTTAATAAGAATTGATTTTTTTAAATTTAGTAATTGTATTGCTTATGTTCTGCGTAGGAAAAACTAATAGACGTATCTATATCATATAGAGAAATCAATAATCATTAAGTAATTTTTACATATTATTTTGTTTGATTAATTTTTTACTATATCCTACCTTTGTTTCATATACAATTCTAATTTTTCATTTTCTGTATCCAGTTCATGATTTGATATTGCAACATTGAGTTATTCTTTTATAATATATAATGGTTATAAACTAGATATTCTACAGGCGTAAATAAGTGACACAAGTCGCAAAGAGGGGCTAGGTTATTTTAATGAAATCTTTATTGTGGTATACATTTTTAAGGCATTTTTTCTGATCGTGATGGTTTTTTTGTGTATTAGGGATAAGTAGATAATCAATTGTTTATTTTAGACAGACATTTTTTCTGTCTTTGCTTGCCATTCTATGTCGATTTATTTTTAGTATTTGTTATCCTACTATGAGTTAGGGACTTTTTTTTTCGTTTAACTGTTTAGTATTTTGTTTATCACTGTGAACTATTGTAGAAACGCGTGCATAAACTCTCAAAATGCACCCATGCGAACGGTGTGCAAAACCACAGTAGGCACTTATGAATGTATAGTATAAATATAACATGTATAATATTTACAGCGTGTTACGTTATTATTACGTGTATCATCGTGGTGAATGCGTTATAATAAATGTTTACTGATATGACTTTCTCTTACTAACAAATATTTTAACCCCGATGATAATATTATAAGTTATAACATTATAAATATGATAAAATAGCCAACATTACAGATTTAAGAACGCTATTGTGTTGTATTATGTACTAAGTGTATTTATGTTTTTGTGTAAAATATAGTTTAAAATTTGACAACGTAAAATTTTTATTTTTCGTATTTTTGCAGAAAACATCACGACGACAGAAACTTCGATGGATGTAAATTTAATCAATGAAAATCATCATCAACACGAAGTTGGATCGAAATGGTCGCCGTTGTTTGAGGATGGTCCTGGGCCCGTCAACGTCACCGCCCGTATTGGTTCTACAGTGCAATTGAACTGTAAAATCCAACTACTTTACGATAAAACGGTATGTAAATCCCGTGCATAAATCATTTAACACGTACAGTAAAATCGTGCGTAAGCTCTAAAACTATTAAATCATTTCAAGTCGTATATCATATCTGTATGGTATGGATTTCTAACATAATTGCCATTATGCCATTTTAATTATCATTAAATAGAGGTGTATACAATTATGAATAATTTAAATTTATTCGATTAGCTGGGATGTTTTTTAGTTAAATTACATTTTTTTTTCAATATAATGAGTAGTTGAATTCAAATCACTATCAGTAATATTTAGATTGTGTTAGTAAATTGGAAACATAATAATAGTTAAGGAAATACTTGATAGGTATGTTTTAATTTTTTATTGCGATTTTGACTATTCAGTATAAGCGAACAAATTAAATTCCAATCCAACTAAAAAAATGTATCCACTTAAGTCAATTTTAAATTTTATATTTATAATTACACATTATGAATTATAAAATTAGACTATCATCTTAATTCTTTGGACGTCAGCTTAAAAAAGAAATCAAATTAAATTTAAAAAAAAAAAAAAAATAGTTGAATATTTACAATGTTATTGGGATTATTGTATTTAAGAGGTTCAAATTATGTCAAACATGAATTAACTATAAATTAATAACTTACAAAAGAATTATAGAAACATAAGTATACAAAAATATTAGATGGCCGACTTAGAAATGTTTTAAAGTCGAAAAATTAGCCAAAATATTCTTAATTAAGGCATTAATATTTACATTTATACACAGATGTAATATAGATATCAATTACATTTGCATTACACTAATAAAATATTATAAGAACAATAATTATTTTTTTATATCTTATTTTTGTAAACATTCATCTCTTAGATAATATATTTTTAGCCATTTTGTTAGTTTCATGGTTTTATATAATAGGATTGGGAAGTAAGCTGTCTAGTATTTTTATATATCTCTTATTATTGGATAAATTTTGACTGAGGAGTGATTTTTGATGAGTATACTAATTCATAAAACTAAGATAAGATGATAAGATAGCAAAATTTAAATAAATTGAACTTAAGTAAATCGTTTCTAAAATAAACTAACAAAAAAATTGTAACACCGCCGATGATATTTAACCATTATAGAATATATTACAATTTATTAAATTTATAAAATTAAATAATTAATAATTACTTATTTTATTTGTGTTTGTGATATTGAGTAAATTAATCACAAATCTTATAACCTGTAAGGAAAATAAAAATTAATTCTAATCATAGTAATAAAAATAGAAATTATTTATAGGGACTTGAAACTAACATTCTATATAAAATTTAATTCTATATACAGGTACATAATGACAATTTTAAGACATTTAGATTCACTATTACTTATTTACATATTGAACTTATTCATACCGTTCTTCAGAAATCCAGTGTTAACTAAAAACTAATAAGATTATATTTTATATTATTATAATAATAATATAATAAATGCCACGTTTTCCTAAAACAAATAATTCAATTTATTGTATTACTAATAGTAAAATAAATTACTTTAATAGTAATATAAACGTATCAAATAAATAAATAATAAGCTAACAAATTGACTTCGTATGCAATGTTTTATCATTACATTCAAGTTTAATACATACACTATACACTTTAGTGACATACTCAATGAAGAAAGACACGCATAATACCTAATGTACAGCATAGCAGTACCCTGTTTATCTCACATTATAATTTATGAAAATACAAAATTTTAACATGACCAAAGTAAATTTTAAAGAAAATTATGAATTTGATTAATTTATGAGTGAAAATTAAAATAACATAAATGAACGAATACACGAATATTTTAATATATAACAAAATCGGTTGGAACCACATTTATAAATTTCTTTCTAAATATAAAACATAACTAATGTACAAATAGAACTTGACAAAATTAAATTCTATATTCAAATATTAATTTATAAACTATAAGTTAGTAAAATTAACCAAAGTACCGTCATTAGAATGTATAAAAAATATCATAACGGTATATTTTACAATAATAAACGTTTATTTTACTGTTGAAATTACGGTTTAACCGCTTTTATATTTTTTTCCTACTTTTATTAAATATTTTGCTATTCTATTGCAAAACTCCTTGGCGTTTGATTTGGACATATAGTGAGCTGTTGCAATAGGGTTTTTCTATAGCACTGTGGAAGTTAAATAACAACAGTAAAGTTTTCTAAAGACCAAAACTTTATCAATCTCAATGTTAGTGGCTAGAACTTTAAGGCTATCGTTTCATTATTCGTTAACTACTTATACCTCTACTTGGCAAACGCTCATTGCACTGCATATTTTATATGTGACTATATTATATTGTCTCATTTAGCGCCTAAATTGATGATAACAGTAAACTTTTTTTTTCATTTACTTAATCCATATATATAATATATACGTGTGTGTGTATATCACACATAAAATACACTATTATGTGAATGACTCTTTATTTTTTATTTTATTTGTTTATACGAGTACTTACCTTCGTTGCTTCACGCAGATTACTTTCATTTGGCCGTCGTTACGTTTTGTTTTTGTTACAAAATCAATTTGATTTTATTAGTTCAACCATTTTACTATTTGGCTGTATGCGTACCGCTTTCTATTTCAAACGACCAAACAGATGTCTCTGGGTTATTATCAAAAATGTTCCTTTTACAATTTCGTGTAATCTGAGTACGAAATAATGAATACATATATATATACACATACAAAAGCTCACACAGATAATGCCATATAAGTTATCAATATAATGATCAAAATACGACAAATCCGGATATCGTCAGTAAAATTCTAACAGAGCATTCGGAGTTTTTTTTTCAATCAAAATATATAAAATATAAAATATATACTAAAAGTAGTACTCCATGACCCTTACACTATTTACTAAACATTTAACCAACAGTGTTTCAAAGTAACGTTCATGAAATTTCGTTGATGTATTTTTAGTTAATATTGAGAATTTTACATCATCTATTTAAGACGAATACTTTTATATAGATATAATGAAAATAAAGAAAGATTTCTATGATATTATTACTCGTATTTTATGTTATATTTAAGTTCAAATACAGATCAACTTTTCTTACGAATAGCCATTTTTTGAACAACTTTATTAGTTTTAGTCAACAATTCATAAATATATGTAATAGTTTAGGTCGCCATTTAATAAAGAGGTACATTACTGTGTAAACTCATTATCTATCTAATCAATGTATTTTCACGAGAAAAAGCCATTAACTGGTGGATATCGGAATAAAACAATATTTAAATACCTCGATTCAGTGATAACAAAACAATTAATGACAAATAAAAATCACTAATTTAAAACTCAGCCAGTGTCAATTAAGTTAATATATCAAAATATGTTAAGTTCCAATATCCGTGTAAGACCATTTATTTAAGTTTTTTTTTTTCTTTACTCACAATTACATTTTGGTTTATCGAAATTTCAAAGTATTTTAGTATAATAATATAATATATATATGCTGTACAGTTAAAACTATATGCCATACCTAACTATTTTTAGACAACAGCGTGTTACGATCACAACATGGCCAGTGGTCGGTATTAATGTTATAAAATCATAAAAAATTGTTGAGCAAACCATATCGAGAAGAGGGACGAATAATGGTTCTTAACAATTTCATCGAGGTGACACAAACCCGGTTGTGATAACGACCACGATGAAATTAAAAAAAAAAAACTTTTTTCGCACACCCAAACATTCCCACTTCTATTCTTACCCGTTGGTCCATGTATTATACAATAGAAAGTGTGCTCGCAACTTTGTGCTAGAACTTTGAACTTTTATTTCCTTTATTGTTTCCGTACAAAGCATCCCGGACGAATAATTGTTGTTTTTTTCACTCCGCATTCTATCCTCAATTTTTTTTTAATATTTTTTTTTTTTTTATTATTATCATTATTTTTTTTATTTTAACGTCGCGCCTCAACCATTTTCATTGGTGAAACAATTTTTTTCTCCTGACCCTCGTACACCAGACGATAAAAGCTCGTATCAAATTACGCGTGACCCGATAATCACCTTAGTATGCTAGACGGGGATAATGTTTTATAGCTCACGCGGTGTTATTCCATCGTGGTTTTCGTATTCTTGTTGTAAATATTTTTTTTTCAGTTTTTCATTTGTCGTGGTAAATAAGCCTATATCAGTTGAATAAATAGTTCAAGTATAAATAAGGGATTAAATATTTAAATAAGGCGATATTATAGAGTTCAGAAACATTATATGTACTACGTATTAGGTGATAACTTAATATGTGTTTTGTTGTAATTCATATTATCAGACATAACTTCTATACAATATATATAATAATATACTCTTGTTTACCGATAATATGTTCTTGTTTACAGACAATATATAGGTGTATTAATTAAAACAAGACCTAACAAATACATTAGTATTAAATTTAGGGTATGCAATATCTATTTATGGAATATATCAGATAGTTTCCGACAGTAAAACTCATAAAATATTCTTCTAATATACTGAGTGATTAATTTATTAATCAATGCTTGATTAATTTTTTAAGTTTTTATTTTTTTGAACGATGACATTCATTTTTAATTGCATGTTCTGAAGCAAAATATTTTTCGAAGTATTTAGATACATTCAGATACTTATTTTAATTACAATAACAATATATATTTTTATTTTATACTCTAAAATATTTGTTGGAGTATTTAGATACATAGAAATCTAAATTCGAACGAGTAGTTTTTAAATCATAAGTGAATATTTAAAATTATAGTGTATGAGTGCAGTGGTACGCGAATACCCCACAAAATGCTGATCTAGTTTTTGGCTAATCTTAACTTTAAATACCTAAAACTCATAATTTAATCATACAAATTTCGATGTTTATATATCAAAATAATCCAAAAAATATTTTACTATTGAACATTAAATTAAAAAATGTATGTTGTTAATGTAATTCAAAAAAGTAAAA